AAGTGTTAATTGTACGTAACATTTTGAATACTCAATTATAAAAGTGTCAGGAACAAAAAATGGGATTTTGTAACTTTCTGTTCATGCAGCGCAAGGCTGGAGTGCAAGGTCGGACTAACTTCAACTGCTAATGGACGTCTAGGTGTATACCTACACACATCAAGTTATGCAAAACCAGTATAAACTGAGCATCGAATGTGCGGAAAGGTCATACAAAGCGGGACATGATAAACTGGTTTCGTATACTTCGATGTTTCACCGTGTCCACATACAATTCCTAGAATCAGTATATTTTATCGGTAACATTATTTTATTGAATAATTATTGCTTGCCACATAATGCGTACTAATCCTAATATACGTTAAAAGCTTATTACGTCTGATGCACCATTGAAACGATGTCTAATCATTTAATTAAATCCATTAGGACCAGTAATAGAATAATCGCTGATGTGTACCTACCTCAATGTAATTTGTAATTTGTGGAATCAATAATACATGTTCATGTCAAGTATCAGTGTCTACATACTTTGCAATAAGGATTTTTGATTTTTTAACTTGCCCTGTAATGGAAGGTTCCATTTTAAGTTGTTATGTCCTGGACCATCCTTGTTAAGAAGCGCGTGTATTGTAAGATATGAATAAATTTCAAAGAATCTACTCCTCAAACTACTCAAAGTAAAAATTTGCACGTGGTAGGTAAGTACCCAATACTGCGCAAGGGTGCACTCTCGCCGCATAATGTATGTGCTCGAGGCTCGAGCATTGATTCAACATACTTTTTGAAGATAGTTTACGCTTAAACGTACAATAACGGTATTTGTGTTTAGGGAGGTATTGTGTAAAATACTGTAAATAAGCACACAGGGTGTTATGCACTGGAGTTGCGGACAACCTAATTTAAACCGGGTTACCGGGGCTCTGATTCACAACAGGGTAGTTTTTAGTCAGTAAGAGTCTGACATTCCCTCTTGCCACACCCAAGGCGAGAGAAGCCATTGGATGATTTTCCACCTTAAAAAAGGGGGTTTGGAAACTTTATAAAAACTCCTTAGTCCCGGAAAAATACTGGTATAACACCACCATACAGATTTTCAGCTATTAATATGAACTACTTTCATCACAATAGAAATAAAATTTTCTGTTTTATATGTTTTCTAAACTGCACCTGTATTTTCCCTTCTTATTTTTCTGATTTAATGTCAGTTTACATTCACCATCGTACTTGCATCGATGTAACATTGTTTTTCACGTGCCGTAGAGTTAATATGGTAAGCCGGAATACTAGGAAACCTGTCTTATCGAATTTGCTATATTGACAGGAACAAGAATTAGAATGTTTGGATTGGATTTAGGATTTGTTCAGGCAAATTAAGTCCAGCCCTGACGTATGTCTACTCTACTTTAGGTTGATACCTGAACATGTGTCTGATTCCTAGTATACATATAGGGTGTTATTTAACCAGTATTCATGTTTTTATCTTTTGTGCATATAAGAAGTAGGGTTACTGAAATTTGATACTACCTATTCAAAACTGCATGTTAGTACTAATCAAATTATCGAAAAACAGAGTAAATCTGCGTTAGATCAACAATAAACCACATTAATATTAGTATTAGTATTATAGTACATAATTATTAGTTAAATAGTTGGTATTATAACATGCAATATGTATACGACATTTATTTATAGAGCACCATGAATTGAATGGTTACGAACCACGAAATTATTTATACAAGCAATCAATAAATAAACAACAGACATTGAAATGTAATTACAAAACATTGAGCTAACGATGATGTAGTTTAAAGAGTGGCATGACGTATCATTGCGTGTCTTTTGAAAACTTTCTAGTGCTATGCTTCTACAATACGTATATATAAGGACCTATATACTATGTATTTTACTGGCTGGTCAAATCATTTTGTTTGTTTGCTAGATTTAATTGCATGCCAGTTTTCACGTAGATTCCTATTCTCCGTCTGTGTAATATTACTATGCTCGGCTACGTTTGGCGTTAGATTTTCTATCTTCTGACTGCTCTTAAGAAAAAAAAACAAAGACATTCAAGACAGTTTTATGTAGTTAAGTGTAGTATGAGGTACGAGGGATCAAGGACGCTAGAAATGGTCACTCGTTCACAGATCAACCGCAGCCCTAGAAGCTTAACTTTCAAAGTACTCGTAGTTAGTTGCTCGCAACTGCAATAAACTAAAGCTCCATTCAGTTAAACTACTATAAATCGATATTTTTTTTACGCTTTATACGTTGACGTTTGACCACCATCTCGCCTGATGGTAAGCGATGATGTGGCCGACGATGGAGCACGCTTACCTATGAGCAACCTGTTCACTCGGGACTTAAAGACACCCAAGTCATATTTGACGGGAAACTCAGCGTCTGGCAAGGAATTCCGTTCCTTAGCGGTTCGCATGAGGAAGCTTGACGCGAAACGCTTCAAGAAACTTATAGAAGACCGAAAGGGCTGCGATTTTGTGCCTGTGTTCGAGGAAACCAATATTTTCAGGTAAGCCATTAAACTATCAATGTTTGAAGCAAAAAATATTAAACAATTACAATTTGCAAGCACGTCTGAATGTTGACACTGAAGTATGATACTTATTCAAACATGGAACGACAAAAATCCCAAAATAATATTTGCAAACGAATACTCTTAAACCGAATCATTAATATTATGAATTCACACGATGGTACAAAATCACTATTAAATATCATACGGGATAAACCCAGTACTAGTAGTGAATGCATTGAATTTCATTGTTGATCTAAATAATAATGAAACACCTGTGTTGAAAACTAATTGATACATTTACCAATAGTTATTAAATTCCTTTTGAAACGTTAATTTCGGTACATGATCTGATCATTATGTAATTGCATTCTATTGTGTAATTATGTAGGTACCTATATATACATTTCTTGACTATGTAGGCACCTATTGACTATGGAGACCTTGACTATGGATACATGAAGAGAAATTACTTACTAAGTATAAGCAATCCTACTAATATTATGAATGTGAAAGTTTATGAAGATGTATGTGTGTGTGTTTATTATTACTCTTTCACTCTCTCTCTCTCTCACTCACTCTTATTACTCAAAAAGTACTGAAGGGATGGAGATGAAATTTGGAACAGAGATAGATTTTAGTCTGTAATAATACATAGGTAGGCCACTTTATATCATTCTGGGCACGCAGGCGAACCCGCTGGCAGAAGCTAGTATAACACATAGGAAGGCTCGACTCGCATGCCATAGTATGTCACGTTGTAAAAGTTATTATCTGTAACAAACGATGCTAACAAGATAGCAAGAAAAAATTGGTCAAGAAGGTGTTTAGCCTAGTTTTTGAGAATATTTTGTTAGTAACAGTAGCGCATTCATCAGTTAATTACGCAGTGGCTGGCCCTTTACAGCATGGGTTATGGTTTGAGTGCATACGCTTGCACTGCAGGGTCGCCCGCTAACTACGAACACTCGCCGACCTCCGTATCTCGACGACTAGGCATGTGCTCGATGTGCGTTATCGATGACGCGCGGACTAATTGCCGTGCATTCAAATTGCATATCGATAGCTTTTTTAGTCATAGCTGTTTAAATGTTACTGTTCTTTGCCTATACCTTCAGGGATTATAAACCGTAACGTTATGATAGTATACTTAGTGTTTAGTGAATTACAATATTTTTACTGAATTTTTTAGATCATGAGAGTAGATGAACCTTTTTATTGTAGTAATTCATATCACGTAACTGCAAGGACTATTAAGTTAGCTCATCGCTAATTAATTAAATAGCTGGCTAAGCAGTCCCGAGCTTACGCACACAAAGACAGTGTACACACTTACACAGTACAATACATGTATCGTAAATTAACAATACATTAGGAGGTAAATAGAGGGTTTTGATTCTTATCATATATTATTATGTTTAGCATAATTAATGTAATAGGTATGAACAATGGATCTTTTCTAAAAATACTCCTAGATGTGATAAACAATCCATAACATGCGACTTAAATAAAATAATATGTTCAGTATCGTAGTGACCTCATGTTATGAAAGAAATTACAATTTTTAACAAAATATTCATATATTTTATCTGGTCATTATGTACAATACTATTGTCCAGTAAATAAAGACAGATTTTATTTACATTTTGTGTTTCATTTCAATACCTTAAAATTACCAAAATAAAAACAACATAAGATTACAAAGTTAAAAACAAAAATTTTTGATTAACTAACGACCAAGAAGTAAATGTGAGTGTTTCTAATAATATCATAATAGATTTAATAACTAAATGATTTGTCGTACATGGTAATAAATAACGGATAGATACTATTCTCCATAGAGGCAAACAATGTCGCTTTGTGTAAACAGTCAACAAGTTGCTGCGTGTCGGTCGAAACTTTTGTGGACAAACTTTGCTAGTTACCACTAAAAATCAAATATTTTATTACTTTATTTTGTTTATTATACCTTAAATGTGTTCATTAATTATGTACATTAAATATAATATTAATATTAGAAACTTTTAGGGCCCGTTTCATAGATCTGTTTTAGTACCTAGCCCAATTAATTCATGTGTAGATTTTCTTTTACATATTTTTTTTAAATATTCATCTGGTGGATATGGCTTACAGTGTAACCGGCTGTTACCATTTCTGAATGGAATAAAACCAGTTAAAATACAAAAATTCATACCACAAGAATAATTGATTTTCATTTAATCATAATTATCATATCGTTAATTCATCACGATTTACCATTGAACATTCTAATAGTGATAACTAAATTGAATTTTGAGTGTTAATAATACAAATGAAAACGCATCATCGATATCTATAATAAGCGGGAGCGCGAGTGCAAGCCAGCACTAGCACATGGTAAGAGACAGCGGCGATCCGAGTGATACTGCCATCGCGCCAGTCTGTGCATGACGCTCGGCGCGCGCGGTCTCTCGCGCCGGAGCGCGGCATCATGTCGCCACTTACGGCGCTACTCGTGCTCGCAGCAATCTGTCCTCTCATAAGTGGTGAACATCAGATCGGAGTGTGTAATCTGGAATATTGCACGTGTACTCCCGACGCCCATCCATCATGGAAGATCGTCAACTGCACTCTCCGGCGCGACCAGGTACGTCTTACTATACTCGTATGTTTCAAACAAACAAAAGTGAACGTGCTTCGCCAGATGTACGGTCAGCCGCCCTGAGTTAATCGGACGTAAACTTATTTCTAGGAACACAGTGCTAGAAAAGTTTTCCTCTTACAAACTTGTTTCAAAAGTTTGTCGAACAGTCATTTCTGTGTAGTGAGGCACGTACACTAATCGGAAACTAGTTTAATTATTGCTAATGTAAATCAAACATATGATAAACAGCCCTCGATAGAAGGAAACGATAAACAACGGAAGGAGCACTATTCTGATTCTTAGCACGTCGAAACATGTTCAAGACGCATTACAACAAAAACCGTGGAGTAAATGTTGTTTTAAAATGAACAAAACGTCATGTTTCAGTACTAATTTAATGTAGAGTAGCATTTCAAAAATAGCCACGGCAGACTAACACCGACACGGGAGAAATGGAAATTGTTTAGTTTTGAATCACCGTTAATTTACCTACACTTCGTGATCACCTAATTATCATGAACCTGATTCACGGTTTAGGATACATCCGTAATCTGAAAATACAATTTATGTATTTTAAAATATTTTTCCAAACAAAAAGAAATCTTTTGCATCCGTGACAAAGTTATGTATTCCAGCTTTAAAATGCTAAAGCTCTCATATCTTTATAATTTCGGCTTTACAAAATGTATTCGACTGTAAACAGCTTCATCGCATTATAAACAAACCATATGATAGATGGCAGTTGCAAAAAAAACTGTATTCAACAAAAAATGTAAATAAAAAGAACTCTACCTGAATCCCGACCCCTTAACGCATTGTCTGCACTCGTGATGAGCGGACCGAACGAGAAGCGATATAAATCGCATCGGTAAAACCATTATGATAACTGACAACACACTATACTACACATAGAGTAAGCTCAACCAGTTTTAAAATGTTTATTCTTTTATGCGTCACTCAAATAATTTACTTTATGGAGATGTAATGATCTCATTACTCTTACACACAACGAATGCTAAATTAGACGGACAATCGTCGTCTTTGTTAATAAGTCAACGTCATTAGTTATACTTAGGCCCAGATTTCTAACATTTGAATAATATCTTAACTACTGCGTCAATATTTAAAGATGATGATATTCATAATTGATTTATTTGGTCAGTCAAGAGCATAATATAATGTACGTGACACTATTTGTTATACCTAAGTTACAAGGAATAAAGGAATGAATGGAAAAGTGAGACTACGACGCGGTTAGAGTAACAGGTTCTTTTGTACGGATAGCTTTGTAAATACCGATGGGCCAGTCGGTTCAACGGCAAGAGTCAGGTCGTATCGGGCGGCGCTCTCCCGACCCGGCTATTTGTGGTTCCGGCGCACTCGCAAAATTCAAGTCTAGTTCATACATAAATACATGCGTCCAAGTAGACGTCGACCTCTCACGATATTCTAAATTAAAATATGTTTCGTATGAAGGAAACCGGCGTCTCGCATCGAAACAATGTCAAACAAACAGCGCCCAGCAAAATATTGGACACGGTTCAAATACTCCTAAAAAATACGTATGAATATTAGTGTGTCAACGACCGTCGCGGTATTGACTGCGCTGGTGGCTAGTTACAATTATCAGGTAACTTACTACTCTCGCGCTTCCACTGGCTGTTCGGCTCCTGTTGGTCATACCGTGATCTTCTTCGATAAATGCACTACCCAACACAAAAAGAAGTATTCAAATCGGACTAGTAGTTTCGGAGCTTAGCGAGTTCAAACAAAGAAACAAATATTTCTTGAGCTTAATACATGTATTTAAAAAACGCATATAGAAGTAAATAGCTGCGCTTCATAATTATTACTGTATAATTGATACAATAAAGTATCTTTTGCGCCTGTCAATATGTTTTTCAGATTAAAAATTATTATTTACCCTTATTTTGACTAGAAGTGAAAATATCACTCAATTAATATAAGCATGTATGTAAAACATGAAAAGGTGAACTAACGAGCAGTCCCCCAACTATTGATAGAAAGGAGAGGAAACGAACACAGACATTCTGAGAAAATAAAAATATTTTTCGACAGTGAATCATTTTGAACACCGCGTATCAAAAACTGTGGGGCCTATTCATACGAGGTAACGGTACATTTGGATAAATTGATACGTGTTACGTGTGTGCTGGTCTACGCCAACACAGTGGTGACTACCGATTGTAGCATCAAATAAAACAGGAAGTTAATTACTGTAGCAATGTGCCCTCGCGGGACTATTGTCTACTCACTCACTAGTGGACGAGGATCCGACATCTGCATGCACGACATGTACAGCAAACAACGGGTGATACCCATCTGTCTATATTCCCATTAAATTCATACAACAATACAATAGACACCTTTATTACAATGAATTTGGTCACTGTATCCCTAAAATGGGGTAATTTGAAGATTGGAAATATAGGTCAAAGCACGCTTTGGAGGTTTTTAGAATCAGCAACTATATTTCCTGTGCCAATTAGAAGCGCAACAACGTTTGAAATACAGATCCAAGCATCAACACGGATTATTTTGAATTTTCGGAAATGGCGTACCAATTTACTGTAACTACCGATTTATTATGAGAGCATACACGAGAAAGGATAAAATTAAGGAAAGTTAATATTATAAAAGGTGTCCTAATGATTCATTTATTAATGGGAAAGACCAGAACAAAATGAGTACTAAACAGGAAAGATTAAGATCAGAGGAAGGAGGCTGCGGCTAATGTAGATGGTGACGATATAGAAATAAATACAATGCGATGAATGATGATGAAAATGGAATGGAGGCTAGATGTAAATGAGATATAAATAATAGAACAAACACATGAAACTATAGAACGATTTTCAAGTGTTGAAAGAAAACCATGGCATACTTACATAAATATATGTCATTGACTAACAACTTTACATTTTATCCTAGGTTTCGACAGACTGAAAATTATATTGAGGCAGTTTTGCAATCATATATAGGCAAGGTATACCCGAATACAGACTAAATATTTTAACATCCCATACCAACACTGATAGAGTTGTTGTAATTAATCATTATTTTTGTGAAGAACACCGCACTGCACCGCAGTGGACAATGATAACACAAAATTAACATAAAAATGTTTATTAATTAAACATAATTGTAATAGTAGAACGTTCGATTTAAATAAATATTAAAGCAGCTATGGAATTAGTCAATTATCGAAAATAATGAGGCGACTGCAAACTGTAGCTTAATTAGGGATCGTGAATTGGCACTGCGTGACGAAAGGGAATCGTTTTGACTTCGTGAATACAAAACACACGGTTTTAAATGGAAGACTGATGTTTAACATAACCTGGACATAAATAGCCGGTCACCAGGCGTAAAGTTTTGATACAAAACAATTTTATTTTAGTCATTCAAGCTAACTATAAAGCTTGAAAATACTCTTTCTTCTTGTAAAGCCTTACTTGTAAAGCCAAATATCAAATACGAGAATGAGTGACTAGCAACAATACTTGTGTGAGAATTAAAATCTTAGTGAAGACTCACAAAAAGCTTAGAGAACGCGCCTACACCTGTTGCCCGAGACGTCTCACATAACTGCATTTCTCGTTGTGTGAGAAAGCGGGGGTGGTCGGCAACCCTGACAAATGTTAACACCCCGCCGTTTAATTAACTCTTTCGGTATTTTGCATACTCACATGGAAAATTAACCACAAAAATTAAACAGAATAAATTGTACCCAACAATAATATTTCACTAATTAAGCACTTACATGCAAGGAATGTTTACGCGCGATATTAAAAGTTAAACTCATCTGAATCTGGCGGTTTACTAAAAATAATACGATCTATTGTAGAAAAAATAAATAAAAGTAGTGATACGAGCCGGTCTCAGCACGCATCGTGAACGCATCGCGGCCAGGCGGGAGCATCGGACAAACCATAAAAAAACGTAATGAGAGATCGCTTCCTGCGACGACCGAGGCCTACTACGGTATTCTGATACAAACTCTACATTGGACATTAGTTAACTTTTACGAGATTTTATGAATTCCCGTTTACTAACTTCAAAGTTCAAACAGCGCCATTCCATTAACTTTAACCAGTAATTCGGTATTTTTATCACAAATGTAAGTATTGATTGATTTATAAATTAACATATCAGTCACAGTCAAAGAGTTTATCATGCAGAACTAAACCGTGGCAAGACGAATCTAAGCGCGTCGTCGCATCGTAAAACTTTTTATGACATTTAGGGCTTGTTTGAACCGCATAAAATTAATGTCTAAAAAATACGACATTTAAAATAGAGTGCTTTAGAATGATCTTAAATGACAGAGGGAAATAAGAAAAGATAGATTTAGTAGATATTAAAACCAGTTTCTATTCATGTGTAGGTATTGTATCAGATTTTGCAACAACTACGGAATAGCGACCGCCTAATAAAACAAACACCATGGTAGATATGTAATCAGTGTTATTTTAGATCGATGTGCGCAAATCGCATTGAAGTATCTTTCCGAACGTAGGTACTACATTACTAATATTTATTTCGAGAGTAGTTAGATGTTTATTTCATCCTCATAACCTATGTTAATGTAAACGGAGACTTACTACATAAAATAAACAAGACATAAAGAATAATTTGTAATTCTTCTATTCATTATATGATTGTGTCAATAAACTGGACGGTTTTACTGATATTTATGAACTAATTCTCGCGTTTGTAAAGACTACGGTTTCCAAGAACGAACTAACTAAATCTGTATGTAAGGGCGGTGTACCTCATTGTTTTGATGTCTAAAATTGTCGATTTTCTGCAAGATCAACTTTGAATGCACGAATACAGAGTGTAATATCGAACAGCAGGTAAAATTGTTGTTCAAAAACTAATATTCTTTATAGCGATTTTACAACAATGGGTGCATGAAAAGAGAACGCGCTTGTTAGTGTCACAACTCCCTATTGAAGGAATATGATGAAGACTTATTT